GTGGTGGGTCCACAGGTGTGTGTGTAGATCACCCTCTATCCACTGGTTGGTAACATAGTCTGCAAGGCTGGTGCACCGAGCGTCATCTGGCTTGCTGGTGTTGATGTCAACCCAATTGGTGTCCACTGCCAGGGAAGATCATTGGTGGGATTGATGCCATTGCCAAATTACCTTTCCCTTCAGTAGCATTCCGATGAACACTTTTCATACTATTATGATTAAGTGACAGGTGTCATTTTGAACACGGTTCAATGTAGGAGAATACCTACTCATATAGGTGATACCTGATTGATCAGTATTCACGAAGTTATATAGTCAATCAACAAAAAATCGCATCTTTAAGCCACTAAACAACCACCTATCAGTTGCAAGACCAGAACTGTGAACATCAAAGGTAAAAAAAGGTCTGCCTCATGTGCAGGCACCCATAATACATCTATGTTATTTTACTTACCTTTAACCACTCGTACATCAGATATACACGTGTTGAGAAGGTGAGAAAGTGACAGTTGGGATGTTGTAATGTATATTCCGAGTGCGTTTTTATGCATAACTACCTCCAACAGCGAAACTAACAGCTAGTTATAAAGGTGTTTGGAACTAGTAAAAGGTTTGCACTCGGTTGGAGCTTTCCAATGAATTTAATCAGGAAAGGAGTCCGTCATAATCATTATGGAGTAGCCAGTCACGGGTTTGGAAATCGATCTCACACATATGTTTGATACCGGTTTTCTCACATGTATGTATGTGAGTAATATGTGAGTAAGAATAATAAATCAACACACTATCCCTTGACATTGAACACCGCGGCAGTAACAAGACTGACGTCCCTCCCCTCTAACATAACTACAACTACAGTCAATGATGTTTATGGTACCGTTGTTCATTTCCTTCAGAAGGTATGGAGGTCAGTATTTGAGATCGTGACTCTTAGTTTGACATATCGATTAGCGAGTTTCTCTCATCAGTGGTCAGTGAAAGATGTATTTAGTAATTCAACACCGAGTACTTATGTATGACTTTGTATACTCGACGGCTTACAAGTAGCTATACATGTGTCAGACATATCGAGACAGTGTGTACTTAATAGATAAAATTATCTTTATATGTGGAGGTGTATGTATGTATTACTAGGCACATAAAGAAACTGTGCATTGTCAAAATATTATCCCAGTTGATAAGTACGATAACAATGTCAAAGGTACATTTAAACTTTAATGGAGGAATCATGACCATAACAAGTCGGGAGAATTTCAATTGAAAAGTCAATCACAATGACGTCACGAGTCCACAAGCGGGACAGGGGTCCAACGACCATGTCACAAGCTCAATAACGGGTATGTCCACCATCGGCATTGAGAACAGCAGTGCATCGACGATGCATAGAGCCTATCAAACGTGCAAGGAAGGCTTGTGGGATGTCACGCCAGATTCTCTTAAGTTATGTTGCAAGGTCAAGGACGTTATCTGGCGGATGAGGAAGACGGCGTAGACGTCGATCCATCTCGTCCCAAACATGCTCTATCGGGGGAGAGATCCGAAGAATTTGCAGGCAGGCAGTAAGGCAGTAACGTTGTGGTGTTGCAAGAAATCCATAGCAACCCTTCCCGTATGAGGGCGGGCATTGTCCTGTTGGAATGTTAACCCAGGGCCATGACGTTGCAGAAAAGGAATTGCCACAGGTCGAAGAATCTCATCCCTGTAGCCCACACCAGTTAAGTTGCCCTGAACAATCACCAAAGGAGTTCTTTGGCGTGCTGTTATTCCACCCCAAATCATCACGGAACCACCACCAAAGCGATTCCTCTCCAAGACACAGGCCTGTGCATAACGTTCTCCAACGCGTCTATAGGCACGTTGACGTCCATCACTATGGGAAATGTTAAACCTGGACTCATCTGTAAAAACAGCATTTCTCCACCAAAACAAGGGTCTGCGGACATGATTTCGTCACCACATTCGGCGAGCTTGTCGATGACGTTGTGTCAGGATAGGCCGTATGGCGGGACGTCGTGGTCTGATCCCGTGATGACGTAAACGTTGTCGAACTGTGTTGGGGTGGATACGGCGAAGTCCTGGGATGGTTTGGGCAGTCATCGCTGCAGTCTGAAACCTGTGGAGAAGATGGGTCACCCTTATCCATATATCCTGTCTTGGCGTTGTTACAAGTGGACGTCCAGAACGTGGCCGATCGATGACGTCATTTGTGTTCTGGTAGCGTCTCACCAGTGCAGAAATGGTGTTCCGGTGGCAGTGGAAATGTGCAGCCACGTGTCGTTGAGACATTCCCCCCTTACCATCCCAATGGCCTCATGACGTTGTGCAGACGTGAGCCTTGGCATGCTATGCGTTTCAATAGCCGTTTAATTTTTTGAACGATCGCAATGGCTGGGGTTGAACTTTCCAAGTGACAGTATTGTGTGGCATTCATTTGCTCTGTTTCTCTTTCTCAAGGACGAACCCACTGACGTCACGGAACGTGGCACGTGCATGCATGTTGGATACATGTCACTAATCTCTGAGTTTGAATCCTGATGTGTCTACACAGGTTTGATAAATTTAGATTTTAAATTTTTGTATGCACAGTTTCTTTATGTGCCTAGTGTATGTATGTATGTATGTATGTATGTATGTATGTATGTATGTATGTATGTATGTATGTATGTATGTATGTATGTATGTATGTATGTATGTATGTATGTATGTATGTATGTATGTATGTATGTATGTATGTATGTATGTATGTACGTATATGTGTGTATATATATATACTAGTATGTATATATGTGTGTTTGTATGTGTGAGACTCGATGAATCAATACATATACACACACACACACACACATACATACAGACAGACGGAAGTGTTGCCATGAATGTTGTCATAACTCATGGCGGATTTAGAGTGTGGACATACCAACTACAAAGTATGTTGATGGTAAAATTCTTTCAGGTACGAGTTTCTGGTGAATTCAATTGTTTTCAATCTGTAGATGACTTATCTGAAATGAGTTTCACCAAATCCTCCTGCAATCAAAGCAATGTTTCAATGCTTTGGCGGCATGTTTCATGCCCTGTACGTACACCTGGACACAAGGTCAGATAAAATTAATCAGTCTAATGATTTATATACACAGATGATACACTTGACGTAACACTCAATTTGATAACAGCAATGTGACTTGAATAACAACCCACGATATTTGACGTTGTTGTATTTAGACACACGAGTGAACCCCTCCACCACCCCACCCCACCCCCCACCCAAAAAAAAGAAAAGAAAAGAAAGGAATCTAACATTACATTCAACACCTAACGGTGGTAATGGCTAGAGTCAGGTGCTTTCTGTCGTTACTCCTTTTCGTCGTAAGTTTTGCTGGTGACTATTTGAGATGATTGTCAGTATTGTGTGGTAACTTTGAGCCACACTAAGTGTTTGTGAAACAGATCAATAACCAGCTATACTATATTAGTGCTATACATAACTATCACTAAATCACAAAGATGTGTTCTAAATTTCCTGTGATTTTCGTGCCACACTTCGTGCGTTTTTACACTCGGAGTTTAGCGATGTCATCGTCAGAGGTTTCATTATACGTTTCTTCATGCAACAGACTCTACAATCATGCATATAAAATCATCAACTGCGTCATCAACGTTACTGTCAAGTTTATCTAAAAAATATCTGAATTCCACGAGCATAATTCGTTTTTAGATTTTCCCAAAAATTGTCACAAAGAGCATCATTCCATATGATTTTATGAAGTAAACCTTCCGACGATGTATTAAGATTCGACGTTTTCAAGGAAGGAAATTTACAGGTTAGTTCCAGCGGCAAATGATCAGATTTTAATTGATCACCTATATTCAGCTTGCTGATATATTGAAAAACGTCAGGAGAAGAGATGAAATAGTCATTAACACTATTGCCCTGTTGTCACATGAAAGTAAATTCACCTCGTTCGTCTCCGAACACTTTGCCATTAACGATGAATAGCTGAAACGCATAACAAAGGTCTATCAAGTTTTGTCCGAACTTATTAATGAGAGTATCATGTGACTTTCGATAATCAACTGTGATATCATCATCATCTTCAACTACACCAATGCTGATATTTCTATCATTATTGACAGGAACATGTGGGTTATTGCTCACATCTGTTCGAGCGTTCATGTCACCATACGACAATGTATGCGAATCACTTAATTGCGCAAGATTACACAATGAAAAGTTATCAACTTGATCAAGGTTACATTTTGACTGAGTGTGATTATAATAGGACGAATCCGCTGGTGGTATGTATGTACATAGTAAATTAATATTTCAGTGAAGAATATATCTTTTGTGAAACTGAGACACACACAATTATCAATGTCTGTTTTTATCCACTTACAAGCTTTACTTAGTGGCTTGTGGACACATACACAGACGCCACCAGAGAGTCTTCCGAACTCGGATAACTTGATAGCAGGGCTGTACAATATATCGTATTTAGGTAACCGATCAACATTAGAAGCAATATCTACAAACTTCAATGAGTTATTACACATAGCGTTACAACATGTGTATGGCGCCTCGATATGCGACCCACGTTAAAAAATTACTGGTTGAACTAAGAACCCAATCCCTCAGCTGCTTCAATGCTTCACCTAAGACAACCGGGACTATTGTGTCGCTGTTGACATGTGACATTGACAACGGGTAGTCGATTGTTGCTAATGGAGTCATGTTCCATGATCTACTAAGTACCGTTTCACCCTGTGTCACCTACATATTTTCAAAACACCAAATGAACAATATAGCAGTGTGTCTACATCAATGCAGAACTCTGCACGAAAATATGGATATTGTATGTTACGGCACCGTTCGTTTTTTATTTGATGTTCGAATGGCTAACTACCACGTGGGTCTGGAAAGTTGTAAAGCCCGTAGACAGTGTATACCCAGTGGCTGACGGTTATGAATCAAGACACAAGACAGGCAGAAAACTACCGTCAATGATGTCAGTGGAAAGACTCTACATCCTCCTACTTCTGTACTTTAGCCGTTGTGTTGGTAAGTATATAAAATCCTCTATGCCACTCGTGTTAGAGTCACTTACAGTTCGGGGATCAGTGATATCATATACTTGAACCAGCCTTGTTTGCTCATGTACGAACCTTCTCCAACAATAGTATAGGACCTACTATAGGTATGCATGGATCACAAGTATCTTGTCAGACGTGATCTTTAATTAAGACAGGATCTACATTTCCAAGATTGGACCAGATCGATTTTGTGATTTTAAAGCTGAAAACTACTGACTGTGAAACGGTAAGAGCTCTTGCCAAATGCTAGTTCCAACTTCCGACCACATCAGCTGCCTTAGCAGTTCCTGACGTGACAGACGCCGCCTGTCAAACAACGTTTAATTGAATTTAACAATGTCAGGACAATTCTCAGTTTGATTTTTATGACTGACATGTACAGCAACACAATGACATGTTCCAAAGTAAGTTGTAGATTTACACCAACCATGTTAGCGTGCACACCATGAAACACTTTTACACAAGACGTTTTTGTACTAAATTCATTTTCTAAATCACATCCAATCATGCAGCTTGGATCCTAAATAATACCACCCATGGATGGAATAGCCTCTGCTTTTTTTAATAGTATACAATGAAGCAATGCCGTTGAAAGCAATTGAACGTTTGCTATGCCCGAGGTCTAAACATAGCATCATTGGATCCAGCTATTTTCGAATGTTAGGAAAATGTTCATACATTGGGACGAAATGGAAATCGAAATGCAAAGTCTCGGGCGTAGCTTTACTTCATATCAAAGTCGATGGCTATCAATGTAACTAGACGATAAAAGCTTTGCTTTTTTTTAAAATGGATAACTTCAGATATGTACGTGCAAATATATATCTTTCTTCACATTTTGGTATTGCAGGTTTGGCTAGATCAGTCTCATGCTTCACTGATGGATGTCGACATGGAAACGGTGGACTAAGATGTCAGTCATGCTACGTTGGTTGTTATGGAACAAACTGCACCATCCCATGTAATGACAACTGTTACACAGACGGGTGTAACAAAATCACTGGGGAAAGTTTCACATGCAAGCGAGGATATTATGGACGAGACTGCAATGTGTCCTGTCCGAGAAGATGTTGGAGCATCACAACGATCTCTGCTATCTGTGACCGTTATACAGGTGTTTGTTCTGAAATCTGTGATGGAGGATTGACTGGTCTACACTGCAAGGATCAAGTCTGTAATACAGAAACCGGTCAATGTATCTTTGGCTGTCAGGAAACTTGGACAGGAGAGTACTGCAACAGAACATGTGATACCTGCCTCAACACAAGATGCAGCTGGACCGGATATTGTCTCTATGGTTGCAAACAGGGTTTCTATGGAAACATGTGCGACAAGACTTGCCCTCGATGTTATACTACTGGCTGTGACAGAGGAACAGGTATATGTGAATCGTGCAGTCCAGGTTATCGAGGAAGACACTGCAACCACAACTGTTCTGAAACATGCTACAGAGGCGGGGATGGACACAGGCACTGTGATCGTTACAACGGGAACTGTCTGGAGGGTTGTGAAGTAGGATGGCACGGTCATCGTTGTTCCACTCGGTGCAGCACCTCCTGCAACCGTCTCGTTGTTACAGTCATGATGGTGCCTGTGAAGATGGTTGTAAGCCTGGTTGGCATGGCAAACACTGCCTGACGCCATGCAGTACCACGTGCAAGCAATCACTGTGTGCCAGTCAAGATGGTTCGTGTACCCACGGCAGTGTAAGGGGTTACCATGGAAAACACTGCCACAGGAAATGTATCAAATGTACAGATGATGATTGTGAAAAGTATGGGAGATGCAGGTATTGTCCAAACGGATGGAGGGGGGGGAAGAATTGCGAACTCCGATGTCCAAGCGGTTGTGACACATGTGATGATGATGGCGTCTGTATGTCTAACAGTGTGACCAACAGAGTGTCGGATCCAGCAGATGAATCCCACAATGATGGTCAGACAGACTCACCATCAGGATCAAGCGGATTACACACCTACACCTATACTTTGTGTTCCTTCTTCTATTTATGCACTCAAATCCGGTTTGATTAATAGATGTATGTTGACTTGACTGGGAACAATGCCAGGTGGTTAACTTTAGCGCACAAGCTGCTATGATTAGCTGATAATTCATTAAGTGTGCAAGTTAAGCGAGTGGGTTAAACCTCCCTGAAGCAGATAGACAGCTAATAATTTGGAATTGTTTCACAGGTGACATTTTAACGAATGATTAGCAGAACATAGGCAACTGATTGCTCTATAAATTGACGGTTTGACATATGAAGGGCATGACTTAAACGAGTCAATATCTTACCTTGTTTTCATGAAACAGATTTTCTTGTAAGCTGCAAATAGAAGCGACAAAACCATTTCCACATCCTTAAGAAATCTGTACTAAAAAAGAGACGAATGTACAATTGTGACTATATCATGAGTATATATTTGTGTCAGCAGTATTCCAGCTGTACGATGTTGATTGTAAACAAATCGAGTCTGGACCAGACAATCTAGTGATTGTCACCATGACAGAGCAAGTGTTTATGAATCCCTAATAAACACCTTGCAGCCACAACGAATACCAGTATTACGGTTTGCTACAAATTACTGTATCTAATCAACGTATGAATGTAATATTGTTGCAATTAAAGATATATGTACATATGAATGATATATGTCGCTACAATAAATTCTTTCTCGTCCCTCCAATATTTGTTTTTGTGTATGCCACTACTAAGTGTGTGTGGAATGTAAGCATGTGTCTTGGGGGTCTGGGTGGGGATTGGTGGGTGAAAATGGGAGTTTTGGGAGGGAGTAGCGCAATGGTAGGCGTATGGGTTTAATTCCCAGCATGGTACAATGTATGAAGCCCCGTTCTTGTGTCTCCCGCCCCAATATTCCAGGAACATTGGCAGAAGCGAAAAACTAAGCTCACTCACTCACAACAACAAACAAATGTCCCCTGACAAGCTTTAAACGATAAACAAACAAATACATTACTGTATCCAGTCAGTGTATGAATGTTATATTTTAGCTATGACACATGAATGAATAATGATCACTACAATAAACTCTTTCTTCATTGAATGTACATGGTCACTGGCTTACGACTTTACGAGACATTTTGCCACCCTGGTTATATAACGCCTAAATCTCCCCTGACGAATGTTGGCATTATAACGAGGGTAAGCTGACTGTACCTACCAAAAGATAAGGCGTCACATATTGATGTATGACCAACACTGTTATCTGGTTTGTGTAGCAAACAACTCAGGGTTTACTCCCACAACGCAGACCTCCCAAAACGCAGTTAAAAATAGCACACTAATTAATTGGGCCATGCTGGTCACCCCTATCTAAATTAAGGGCCTAGTCCACTCCCCCACCATTACGGATTACCGCTATGTTAAGACACTGAGTAGAAGTGCACAACAACAACATTGTCTTAAATCACTGCTCCATTCTTGAATCCGCTATTGATACATTTGATGAGTAGAAGCTGCTTTTAGAGGATCAGATAGTTTAACTCCTCCCACGAATCTTATTCAAACATAACCATAACAGAGTGTACTATTTTCACAGAGCTTATGTATGGTTTCAGTAAACTGAAGATTTATTGACCATGTGTCGTGATAAATGATCTGTTTAACCGGTGATCGAGCTACTGTCGAAATTAATATAGACATTGTAGATATATCATCAGAAGTATCTGCTTCTGCAGAATACATGTAGTACGATATACACAATGTACACGTAAGTGCTACTTTGTGGTGACGTGGATCGTGGTGTTAAGTAATCACGATGGTGACAGTGCCCTTCACTCTCAACACAGCCTCTTCAGAAGCATTTCGTCTGTTTCCGTCCCAGTTGACACGGGTGGATCAAAGCTCCACCACCTATCAGTTGCAAGACCAGATCTGTGAACATCAAAGGTAAAGAAACGTCTGCCTCATGTGCAGTCACCCATAATACATCTGTGACATTTTACTTACCTTTAACCACTCGTACATCAGATATACACTGTGTTGAGAGGGTGAGAAAGTGACAGTTGGGATGTTGTTATGTATATTCTGAGTGCGTTTTTATGCATAACTACCTCCAACAGCGAAAATAACAGCTAGTTATAAAGGTGTTTGGCACTAGTAAAAGGTTTGCACTCGGTTGGAGCTTTCCAATGAATTTAATCAGGAAAGGAGTCCGTCATAATCATTATGGAGTAGCCAGTCACGGGTTTGGAAATCGATCTCACACATATGTTTGATACCGGTTTTCTCACATGGGTTTCACACCAATATGTGAGTAAGAATAATAAATCAACACACTATCCCTTGACATTGAACACCGCGGCAGTCACAAGACTGACGTCCCTCCCTCTAACATAACTACAACTACAGTCAATGATGTTTATGGTACCGTTGTTCCTTTCCTTCAGAAGGTATGGAGGTCAGTATTTAAGATCGTGACTCTTAGTTTGACATATCGATTAGCGAGTTTCTCTCATCAGTGGTCAGTGAAAGATGTATTTAGTAATTCAACACCGAGTACTTATGTATGACTTTGTATACTCGACGGCTTACAAGTAGATATAAATGTGTCAGACATATCGAGACAGTGTGTACTTAATAGATAAAATTATCTTTATCTGTGAAAGTGTATGTATGTATTACTAGCCACATAAAGAAACTGTGCATTGTCAAAATGTTATCCCAGTTGATAAGTACGATAACAATGTCAAAGGTACATTTAAACTTTAATGGAGGGATCATGAGACCATAACAAGTCGGGAGAATTTCAATTGAAAAGTCAATCACAATGACGTCACGAGTCCACAAGCGGGACAGGGGTCAAACGACCATGTCACAAGCTCAATAACGGGTATGTCCACCATCGGCATTGAGAACAGCAGTGCATCGACGACGCATAGAGCCTATCAAACGTGCAAGGAAAGCTTGTGGGATGTCACGCCAGATTCTCTCGAGTTATGTTGCAAGGTCAAGGACGTTATCTGGCGGATGAGGAAGACGGCGTAGACGTCGATCCATCTCGTCCCAAACATGCTCTATCGGGGAGAGATCCGGTGAATTTGCAGGCAGGCAGTAAGGCAGTAACGTTGTGGTGTTGCAAGAAATCCATATCAACCCTTGCCGTAAGAGGGCGGGCATTGTCCTGTTGGAATATTAACCCAGGGCCATGACGTTGCAGAAAAGGAATTGCCACGGGTCGATGAATCTGATCCCTGTAGCCCACACCAGTTAAGTTGCCCTGAACAATCACCAAAGGAGTTCTTTGGCGTGCTCTTATTCCACCCCAAATCATCACGGAACCACCACCAAAGCGATTCATCTCTAAGACACAGGCCTGTGCATAACGTTCTCCAACGCGTCTATAGGCACGTTGACGTCCATCACTATTGGAAATGTTAAACCTGGACTCATCTGTAAAAACAACATTTCTCCACCAAAACAAGGGTCTGCGGACATGATTTCGTCACCACATTCGGCGAGCTTGTCGATGACGTTGTGTCAGGATAGGCCGTATGGCGGGACGTCGTGGTCTGATCCCGTGATGACGGAAACGTTGTCGAACTGTGTTGAGGTGGATACGGCGAAGTCCTGGGATGGTCTGGGAAGTCATCACTGCAGTCTGAAACCTGTGGAGAAGATGGGTCACCCTTATCCATATGTCCTGTCTTGGCGTTGTTACAAGTAGACGTCCAGAACGTCGCCGATCGATGACGTCATTTGTGTTCTGGTAGTGTCTCACCAGTGCAGAAATGGTGTTCCGGTGGCAGTGGAAATGTGCAGCCACTTGTCGTTGAGACATTCCCCCATGGACCATCCCAATGGCCTCATGACGTTGTGCAGACGTGAGCCTTGGCATGCTATGCGTTTCAATAGCCGCTTAATTTGTAAACGATCGCAATGGCTGGGGTTGAACTTTCCAAAGTGACAGTATTGTGTGGCATTCATTGTATGTATGTATGTATGTATGTATGTATGTATGTATGTATGTATGTATGTATGTATGTATGTATGTATGTATGTATGTATGTATGCATGCATGCATGCATGTATGTATGCATGTATGTATGTATGTTTGTATGCATGCATGCATGCATGCATATATGTATGTATGTACGTACGTACGTACGTATATGTGTGTGTATATATATATATATATATGTATATATGTGTGTTTGCGTGTGTGAGACTCAATGAATCAATACATACACATACACACACACACACACACACACATACATACAGACAGACGGAAGTGTTGCCATGAATGTTGTCATAACTCATGGCGGATTTAGAGTGTGGATATACCAACTACAAAGTATGTTGATGGTAAAATTCTTTCAGGTACGAGTTTCTGGTGAATTCAATTGTTTTCAATCTGTAGATGACTTATCTGAAATGAGTTTCACCAAATCCTCCTGCAATCAAAGCAATGTTTCAATGCTTTGGCGGCATGTTTCATGCCCTGTACGTACACCTGGACACAAGGTCAGATAAAATTAATCAGTCTAATGATTTATACACAGATGATACACTTGACGTAACACTCAATTTGATAACAGCAACGTGACTTGAATAACAACCCACGATATTTGACGTTGTTGTATTTAGACACACGAATGAACACCTCCATGCACCCCCATCATCATTGACAGGAACCTGTGGGTTATTGCTCACACCTGTTCGAGCGTTCATGTCACCATACAACAATGTATGCGAATCACTTAATTGCGCCAGATTACACAATGAAACGTTATCAACTTGATCAAGGTTACATTATGACTGAGTGTGATTATAATAGGACGAACCCGCTGGTGGTATGTATGTACATAGTAAATTAATATTTCAGTGAAGAATATATCTTTTGTGAAACTAAGACACACAAAATTATCAATGTCTGTTTTTATCAGCTTACAAGCTTTACTCAGTGACCTGTGGAGACATACACAAACGCCACCAGAGAGTCTTCAATACTCGGATAACGTGATAGCAGGGCTGTACAATATATCGTAGTTAGGTAGCCAATCAACATCAGAAGCATTTTCAACAAACAAACAATGAGTTATTCAGATGAATAGAATACACATAGCTTTACAACATGTGTATGGTGCCTTCACACCTAGAAGCACAAAGCGGAGAGTAGATATAAGTTCCACCTTTAAAAATTACTAAGAACTAAGAACCCAAATCTAAAGTTACATGCTTCACATAAGACGACCGGGACTGTTGTGTCGCTGTTAAAGTTGACATGGAGTCATGTTCCATGATCTAATAAGTACCGTTTCACCCTGTGTCACTTACACATTTTCAAAACACCGAATGAACAATCTAGCAGTGTGTCTACATCAATGCAGAAATCTGCACATAAATACGGATATTGTATGTTACGGCACTGTGTGTTGTTTATCTGACGATCGCATGGCTCACTACCACGTCGGTCGCGGAAGTTGTAAAACTCGTAGACTGGGTATACCCAGTGGCTGACGGTCATCAATCAGGACACAAGACACAAGACAGGCAGGAAACAACAGTCAATGATGTCAGTGGAACGGCTCCTCATCCTCCTACTTCTTTACTTTAGCCGTTGTGTTGGTAAGTATTTAAAATCCTCTATGCCACTCGTGTTAGTGTCACTTACAGTTCGTGGATCAGTGATATCATATACTTGAACCAGCCTTGTATGCTCATGTACGAACCTTCTCCAACAATAGTATAGGACCTACTATAGGTATGCATGGATCACAAGTATCTTGTCAGACGTGATCTTTATTTAAGACAGGATCTACATTTCCAAGATTGGACCAGATCGATTTTGTGATTTTAAAGCTGAAAACTACTGACTATGAAACGGTAAGAGCTCTTGCCAAATGCTTGTTCCAACTTCCGACCACATCAGCTGCCTTAACAGTTCCTGACGTGACAGACGCCGCCTGTCAAACAACGTTTAATTGAATTTAAACAATTTCAGGACAATTCTCAGTTTGATTTTTATGACTGACATGTACAGCAACACAATGACATGTTCCAAAGTAAGTTGTAGATTTACACCAACCATGTTAGCGTGCACACCATGAAACACGTTTACACAAGACGTTTTGTACTACTAAATTCATTTTCTAAATCACATCCAATCATGCAGCTTGGATCCTAAATAATACCACCCATGGATGGAATAGCCTCTGCTTTTTTAACATTATACAATGAAGCAATGCCGTTGAAAGCAATTGAACGTTTGCTATGCCCGAGGTCTAAACATAGCATCATTGGATCCAGCTATTTTCGAATGTTAGGAAAATGTTCATACATTGGGACGAAATGGAAATCGGTTTTTCACATGAAGAACAGGAGCCAACTCACACTTCAATACAAAGTCTCGGGCGTAGCTTTACTTCATATCAAAGTCGATGGCTATCAATGTAACTAGACGATAAAAGCTTTGCTTTTTTTTTAAATGGATAACTTCAGATATGTACGTGCAAATATATATCTTTCTTCACATTTTGGTATTGCAGGTTTGGCTAGATCAGTCTCATGCTTCACTGATGGATGTCGACATGGAAACGGTGGACTAAGATGTCAGTCATGCTACGTTGGTTGCTATGGAACAAACTGCACCATCCCATGTAATGACAACTGTCACACAGACGGGTGTAACAAAATCGCTGGGAATGTTTCACATGCAAGCCAGGGATATTATGGACGAGACTGCAATGTGTCCTGTCCGAGAAGATGTTGGAGCATCACAACGATCTCTGCTATCTGTGACCGTTATACAGGTGCTTGTTCTGAAACCTGTGATGGAGGATTGACTGGTGTACACTGCAAGGATCAAGTCTGTAATACAGAAACCGGTCGATGTATCTTTGGCTGTCAGGAAACTTGGACAGGAGAGTACTGCAAGAGAACATGTGATACCTGCCTCAACACAAGATGCAGCTGGACCGGATATTGTCTCCATGGTTGCAAACGCGGTCTCTATGGAGACATGTGCGAGAAGACTTGCCCTCGATGTTATACTACTGGCTGTGACAGAGGAACAGGTATATGTGAATCGTGCCGTCCAGGTTATCGAGGAAGACACTGCAACCACAACTGTTCTGAAACATGCTACAGAGGCGGGGATGGACACAGGCACTGTGATCGTTACAACGGGAACTGTCTGGAGGGTTGTGAAGTAGGATGGCACGGTCATCGTTGTTCCACTCGGTGCAGCACCTCCTGCAACTCGTCTCGTTGTTACAGTCATGATGGTGCCTGTGAAGATGGTTGTAAGCCTGGTTGGCATGGCAAACACTGTCTGACGCCATGCAGTACCACGTGCAAGCAATCACTGTGTGCCAGTCACGATGGTTCGTGTGCCCACGGGTGTGTCAGGGGGTTACCATGGAAAACACTGCCACAGGAAATGTATCAAATGTACAGATGATGATTGTGAAAAGTATGGGAGATTCAGGTATTGTCCAGACGGATGGAGGGGGAAGAATTGCGAACTCCGATGTCCAAGCGGCTGTGACACATGTGATGATGATGGCGTCTGTATGTCTAGCATTGTGACCAACAGAGTGTCGGATCCAGAAGATGACTCCCACAATGATGGTCAGACAGACTCACCATCAGGATCAAGCGGCTCACACACCTACACATATACTTTGTGTTCCTTCTTCTATCTATGCACTCAAATTCCGGTTTGATTAATAGATGTATGTTGACTTGGCTTGGAACAATGCCAGGTGGTTAACTTCAGCGCACAAGCTGCTATGATTAGCTGATAATTCATTAAGTGTGCAAGTTAAGCGAGTGGTTTAAACCTCCCTGAAGCAGATAGACAGCTAATAATTTGGAATTGTTTCACAGGTGACATTTTAACGAATGATTAGCAGAACATAGGCAACTGATTGCTCTATAAATTGACGGTTTGACATATGAAGGGCATGACTTAAACGAGTCAATATCTTACCTTGTTTTCATGAAACAGATTTTCTTGTAAGCTGCAAATAGAAGCGACAAAACAATTTCCACATCCATAAGAAATCTGTACTAAAAGCAGAGTCGAATGTACAATTGTGACTATATCATGAGTATATATTTGTGTCAGCAGTATTCCAGCTGTACGATGTTGTTTGTAAACAAATCGAGTCTGGACCAGACAATCTAGTGATTGTCACCATGACAGAGCAAGTGTTTATGAATTCCTAATAAACACCTTGCAGCCACAACGAATACCAGTATTACGATTTGCTACAAATTACTGTATCTAATCAACGTATGGATGTAATATTGTTGCAATTAAAGATATATGTACATATGAATGATATATGTCGCTACAATAAATTCTATCTCGTCCCTCCAATATTTGTTTTTGTGTATGCCACTGCTAAGTGTGTGTGGAATGTAAGCATGTGTCTTGGGGGTCGGGGTGGGGATTGGTGGGTGGAAATGGGAGTTTTGGGAGGGAGTAGCGCAATGGTAGGCGTACGGGTTTAATTCCCAGCATGGTACAATGTCTGAAGCCCCGTTCTTGTGTCTCCCGCCCCGATATTCCTGGAACATTGGCAGAAGCGAAAAAACTAAGCTCACTCACTCACAATAACGAACAAATGTCCCCTGACAAGCTTTAAACGATGAACAAACAAATACATGACTGTATCCAGTCAGTGTATGAATGTTATATTTTAGCTATGACACATGAATGAATAATGATCACTACAATAAACTCTTTCTTCATTGAATGCACATGGTCACTGGCTTACGACTGTACGAGTCATTTTGCCACCCTGGTTATATAACGCCTAAATCTCCCCTGACGAATGTTGGCATTATAACGAGGGTAAGCTGGCTGTACCTACCGAAAGATAACATGCACGCCTGTCACTCAGACTGACAAGGTGTCACATATTGATGTATGACCAACACTGTTATCTGGTTTGTGTAGCAAACAACTCAGGGTTTACTCCCACAACGCAGACCCTCCCAAAACGCAGTTAAAAATAGCACACTAATTAATTGGGCCATGCTGGTCACCCCTATCTAAATTCAGGGCCTAGTCCCCACTCCCCCACCATTACGGATTACCGCTATGTTAAGTCACTGAGTAGTGGTGCACAACAACAACATTGTCTTAAATCACTGCTCCATTCTTGAATCCGCTATTGATACATTTGATGAGTAGAAGCTGCGTTTAGAGGATCAGATAGTTTAACTCCTCCCACGAATCTTATTCAAACATAACCATAACATAGTGTACTATTTTTACAGAGCTTATGTATGGTTTCAGTAAACTGAAGATTTATTGATCATGTGTCGTGATAAATGATCTGTTTAACCGGTGATCGAGCTACTGTCGAAATTAATATAGACATTGTAGATATATCATCAGAAGTGTCTGCTTCTACTGACTAGTACGACATACACAATTTATACGTAAGTGCTGCCTTGTGGTGACGTGGATCGTGGTGTTTAGCAATCACGATGGTGACAGTGCCCTTCCTCTCAACACAGCCTCTTCAGAAGCATTTCGTCTGTTTCCGTCCCAGTTGACACGGGTGGATCAAAGCTCCTAAAACTTCACGGATGTGTCACCAGTCGTAGCTATATAGCTAGAGAGCCAAACCATGTTGGGTGGGAGGCGTCTGGTTGAAATGCGGATCCCATGCATGAGACAGAGATTTTCCTGAGAAAATAAAGGACGAGTTTGTTTAAAATAGATGACAATTACATAATATACAGGTCTTTAGGTATACAGGTACATCTGTGAGGTTTTAGATGTCGATTTCACAGTCCTGAGCAAGACGGGCAAGGAACACAGGCCAAAAACGTTTCATAGAAGATATATATTTTAAAAAAAAGTACAGAAAAAGGCTTTCCTCCCAACCAACATGATTACTTTGAATAATGAATAACTGTGACATAATAACTTGGTTTAAAGATGGAAATTATATTTTTCTACAAAACTTGACACTACATGACTTACTACGTCTTTTAGACAGCCAGTAGAAAGTCATACCGGCCATGCCTGATGGAGGCAGTGTTGAGGGTATGGGGAAAAGGCTTCACATTAATCAACCGAGTTTAAAACAACCGTGCTCTTTTAAGCTATAGTGTTTATTTCTGCAGGTTATTATAATGTTGTTCTATCATTATAAACACATTTCATTATACATCGTCGCCGTTTTAGTTACCTTTAATCACCGGGGCCAAACCGGACCGGACGCATACCAAAAAACGTAAAAACTTCTAATAGAGTTTTGGAGAATGTAGGGGAAAATGGCTTCACTTCGAGCAACGTGTTGCTTTAAATACTTTCTGCACCAATCACTTGTAATTAAGATTAAGGGGAAAAGGGACTCACTTTAATTGACCAGTTTTCTTTAAACGCGATGTACTGATACTTGTCAAAGAGGTTTTCAGATGAATGTAATTCTATTCAATAAATGTCAGTACAACATTGATAGATCTGCGACGTTTCGTTGCTTTTACCTCCGGGACCAAGTCGGACCCAACACAGATCAATCACTTGTGATGGAGGCTATATTGAGGGTGTCCAGTCCCGATGTGGCTGAAATATTGCCGGTGTGTCGACTTTAATTCATTCGCTCACTCTACTGAGATTAAAGGTTAAGTTTAAAAGACCAATCTTCTTTAAATGCTATGTAGTGGGACTTATCATATGGTTTTCAGATAGATATAAGTCTATTCAATAGATGTTAATACATTTCATAATACGGTTTATGCACATGAAGCAGTAGTATGGTAGCAGCACATTTCCGAGGTGACGTAACGTGACGCAACCCCGAAAATATACTGTCATACACGTATGACGTCACGACGATAGGTCTCGTGACGTCACGACCTACAAACGAAGGTAGTGACGTCACTTGATGGTGACGCAACCCGAAAATATACTGCCACACTGACGTCATACACGTATGACGTCACGACGATAGGTCTCGTGACGTCACGACCTACAAACGAAGGTAGTGACGTCACTTGATGGTGACGCAACTTCGAAAATATACTGCCACACTGACGTCACGACCTACAACGACGGTATTGACGTCACGTGGTCATTGAATCGTCACAAATAGGAGGAATGGTCATCTAGTACGTGTGCGTGCATGTACGTGTGTGTGTGTGTGCGCGCATGTGACACCTATTAATGACGTCACACAAACAAAAATGGAGACCATAAGAATCCGTCCGTCAAGCTAAATTCTCAATTGCTCTCAGACGCGTTTTTACCTCATAAATGCACCATTAGCGTGCCAATAATATTTGAGTTTTTGAAGGAGGCTAGGGAATCTGTGCTGTCTATGTAAAGCTCTCTACAATACTAGACCGCATACGAGAAACACCTAGATTACTCTTTAATCACACGACCACCCGGTCTGTGTAAAGCTCTCTACAATACAAGACGGTAAGACGGTGATATTCTACATGAAACAAAATGTGAGGTAGAAAAAGCGGCAAGGCAGCAAGAGTGGTACGGTGTTACGTTCTTTACCTCGTATCGTAAACCCAAAGCGGGAACGAATAATAATTTTGAACGAGGTCTGTAAATGTCGTACTGCCAATGTAAAGCTCTCTACAATACTAGGCAGCAAATAAATGTAACAAGACACTAAAAAAATAACACACCCTCCAGTTTATGTAAAACTCTCTACAATACAACAAGGGGAAGGCGGTTATATTCTACCAAATACAACAAAGAAGATATTGAGTCGGACAGTCTATGTAAAGCTCTCTACAATACTAGTCCGCGCGAGCACCGTATCCCTCGTTGTTTAAACCACCCCAACATATACCCACGAGGTAGATAACGTCAACACTTTTATATAAAACACAACAGAGACTAGTAAAAACAACGTTTCACAAATTTTATTCGTAAATATGCACAACTACATTTCTACTCACAAAACAGTTGGGAGACCATATTCCCGTCCACCGACAAGGTGTCTTCGTTTCCAGAGTGCGATGATGGCGATACTTTTCCCTTCTTATTGAAGAAAAGTTTACATCTTTCTCCATCCCTCTGCTCATTATACGATTCGGGAACGTAGCAGCAGGACATCGTGGTACGGAGCACTCAAAATATACAACCTCACTCTCGGGGTTGGGTCTACTAATGCCTACAGTGAATATAATGCCTACAGGGAATAATAGCTACAACGTTTGCAGTGACAGCGATAGCGCCACCTGCACACAAGTAGATTGTTCCACTTAGTGTGCACTATTGCCTGCTACAAAGGGATTAGGGAGGCCAGCAAGGCGGAGAGTAAAGAGAGTAAGATCAAGAGTATTAAATCGTTAGCTAGCTTATGTTTTGATAATTCCATACGCATTTAGTTCTCACACGAGAAGGAAATTGAAGAGTAAAGTAATTAATAGAGATTATTAAAGGGAGAAGGAAATGTATTGGTTTTAAAATTGAAGAATAGAGTAATTAATTGAGAGATTATTAAAGGAGAAGGAAATGTATTGCTTTAAAGTGCTTGTGATACAAATCTTCATTGCAAATCATGCCAAATCCCAAAAAAAAAGTCGAATACTTCACAGAAAGGAGGACAGCAGGTACTCTTTTGAGGGATACCGCTACAGACTCAACAACAGGCGACAGACGTGTGTACACTGGAAGTGTGTTCAAGGTGGCTGCTTTGGCAAGTGTACGACAGTCGGACAGTTTGTTCGGAATCAGACCCCACACAACCACCCACAAGAAGACCAGGTAGCCCTGAAGATTGCCAGTTTCCTGAGGCAGCGGGTACAGACTGAGACGACGCCAGTTCAGGGTGATCTACGATGAGGATGGCTCATGGCGCCCGTCCCCCACCCGCAAGAGGACGTACACAGAAATTGACCAGAGACTCACTCGTCTGAAGGCCCAGCTGACATCTGGTATCAAGACGCCCCTGGAATTCCTGACTGCTGCAGGATATTTGATCAAGCTAGCTTGAAAACCAAATGACTATGTTGATGAATGTGTGAAACTGTGTGTATACATGTAAATTACTTTGGTTACCACAATGACTTTATTAATGAATGTGGTAGTTGATTGTGTGAAAGATGTATATATGTATATATAATCATGAATCAAATTAAGTTTTAATTACATTTTAATCCAAATAAATGATTATGTTTATTTATGTAAATTTATTTATCTCTCAAACAAACTACTATGTGAAAGATATGAATAAAGTTTAAGAAAAAATTAAGGAAAAATATGAAAACAATGTGAAAGATATGTATATGAATGTACATATGTATATGAATGACCAAATAAAATGTCTCTCAACATAGAAAGTTACTGTTTTCTATATACTGTAGGCATTAGTGCACTTTGAAATAGGACCATGCCACTTTATTGAAAGGTTGAAGGCAGGTGCAATCAGCAGCACTGGTGCGTAAAGTTGTTTATTTAACACTGTAGGCATTATTCACTGTGCAGGCATTAGTAGACTCCACCCCTCTCGGGCAGACGGCTTCTAACTAGCTACTGCGTGTCGGTGCTCGTGATACTCTTGTCACCATCAGCGGTTACGTGTGAAGAAAAGAATAGGGGGCGTGACCTAAGGGCACCTCGTCCTGCCATTGGACGGTAAGGGGTCAAATCCCGGTCCTGGACATAATTATACCTATATACATCAAACACAGGCGTTATCACCGTGGGTTTTAGCTGCGTAAGCGCTAAAAGCCACGCTTAACACCTCTTTGTATGGTTGGCTAGTAAAATCGGTTTGCTTCGAGACGGCGGCGTGGGAAAAAAATCGAGAACATTCCTACAGCTCTATCAATAACCTAATTTTTCCCTCGTCAAAATCCATGGCTCTTAAAGTTCCTGAGTATACTCTTCTTGGTATTATCATGCCATCTGAAAACCATGGAAGCGTATTACTTTTACTGAAATGGTGATTGCAAGCTACCGACGACAGGCTTTGTACACGAACTCTTTTGTAGGAATACTGCAAAATCGTGAAATTCGGGCCATATTC